GAGTCAGATACTTAACCCACACCTCTGAAGAAATGTTTTCAATTGTCTTTTTTTTTAAACAAATTTTTAATTTAAAAAATTTGTTAGTTAACATATGGTGTAATAATGATTTCAGGAATAGAATTTAGTGATTCATCACTTACATGTAACACCAAATGCTCATCCCAACTAGTGCCCTCCTTAGTGTTCATCATCCATTTAGCCCATCCCCCCCCCCACAACACTCCTCAAGCAAACTTCAGTTTGTTTTCTCTATTTAAAAGTCCCTATGGTTTGTCTCCCTCTCTGCTTTTATCTTATTTTCCTTCCCTTCCCTTTGTTTTGTTTCTTAAGTTCCACATATGAGTGAAATCATATGATATTTATCTTTCTCTGATAGACTTATTTTGCTTAGCATAATATACTCTGGTTCTATCCACGTTGTTGCAAATGGCAAGATTTCATTCTTTTTGATTGCTGACTAATATTCCATTATATATATATGTTTATGAGTGTGTGTGTGTATACACATATATACACATATACCACATCTTCATTATCCAGTTATTAATGGACATTTGGACTCTTTCCATAGTATGTGATCTATTCTGGAGAATGTTCCCTGTGTACTCAAGAAAAATATGTGTTCTGCTGCTTTAGGATGAAATGTCATGAATATATCTGTTAAGTTCATCCGGTCCAACATGTCATTCAGAGCCATAGTTTCCTTGTTGATTTTCTGCTTACATGATCTGCCCATTGCTGTAAGTGGGGTGTTGAAGTCCCCTACTATTAGGGAACTAGTATCAGTGAGTTTCTTTATGTTTGTGATTAATTGATTTATATATTTGGTGCTATCATATTAGGGGTGTAAATATTTACAATTGTTAGATCTTTTTGGTTGTTAGACCCCTTCATTATGATAGAATGCCCTTCTTCATTTCTTGTTATAGTCTTTATTTTAAAATATAGTTTGTCTGATAAAAGTATAGCGACTCCAGCTTTCTTTTGATGACCGTTGTCATGATAGGTAGTTCTCCATCCCCTTACTTTCAATCTGCTGGTGTCTAGGTGTCCTAGTTCCTTTCCATTTCGATACAATTTTCTGACCAGCTTGTCAATTTCTGCAAAAAAGCCAACTGAGAATTTAATAGGGATTGCATTTTATTTATAGATCAAGTTGAGGAATTTTGTCAGCCTAACAATATTAAGCCTTCCTGTCCATGTCTTTCCATTTATTTAACTTTTGAATCTTTTTCAATATTGTCTTGTGGTTTTCAAAGTACTAGTTTTGCGCTTTTGTAAAATTTAGTCCTGAGTATTTTATTCTTTGTGATGCTGTTGTATACAAGTGTCCTTTATACTTAAAAAATTTTTTTGCCTGGATATACCTAATATACATGTCTATATACCCAATAGATACAGACTATGTCTCTACTTTACCCCTTGTATTTCTTCTCTTTGTCCTATTTTAATTCCAGTGTTCCACTGATACCATGAAACATTCAAAAAGCACTTATGTTATTTCTTTCAGCTGTCATATGTGTTTATTTTGTGAGATATATATGACAAGTATTGGTCATATAGAGTTGGTTAAACATCTTGTGTTTTCAAAGAGAAGACATAAATATGATATCTAAGATTTAACAGTGAATATTAGAATTATGTATCAGAAGCATTGTAGAGGATCAGGGAACCTCTTTTAGATTGACCTTGAAATATCAGTAAGGGGTTAGCAAACTTGGAAAGACTTTCTATTAAGCCAGAGTAAGATAAATGAAATCATGAAGGCATAAAAGTTCTTGATTCTTCATAAAAGGTGATGGGCTTATTGGGTTAGTATCAAATGAGTGAAGGAAATAATTGAGAGTGAAGTGGGGAATACAGAATAGTTGTGACAGTTTTAATTAAATGGTAAGGATTTCCTGGGCACTGTAGATTTCTGAGTAGTGGGGTGCCATGGAAGATTTGTTTTTGTTTTTGTTTTTTTTTTTAATCTGGGAAGATGTTGATTATTTCTGTATTTTAGAGAATTAACACCTGTTTGCTGAGAGTCGATTGCAGTGAAGAGGTAATAGGGGCTGAGTAACCAGTTAGAAGTCTATTACAATACCCAGAGAGAGAAGATGAATTTCTTTTTTTAATGTTTTTTTAAACAGGATTTTTCTTTATATCAAAAATTTGTTTGTTTATTTCTGAGAGAGAGAGAGAGACAGAACGTGAGTGCGGGTGGGGCAGAAATAGAGGGAGACCCAGAATCCGAAGCAGGCTCCAGGCAGGCTCTGAGCTGTCAGCGTAGAACCTGATGTGGGGCTTGAACTCATGGACCATGAGATTATAACCTGAGCCAAAATTAGATGCTTAACCGATGGAGCTACTGAGGCACCCTGAGAAGGTAAATGTCTTAACTGAGAAAACCACAAGAACTGAGATGAATAGAAAAATTTTGACTATTTGATTCAGGAAGTAGAATAGGGAAGGGAAGGAGTTCAAGATAACTTGCGCTTTCTCATTTGGTTTATTGGTGATTGGTAATGTCTTTCTGGTCCTTTGTTGTTGTGTTGTTGTTTTAATTGTATTAAATAAATTATGTAGGCATGATAGATTGCCTTATTGGCCATGAGATTGAACTCAATCTCAAGCCTCATTCCCATTTTCAAGAGGCCATGCTGATGTTTTCATGGGTCAAAACCCCAACCCTCTAATCACATAGTTGCTCTTTCTGGTTTGGCTTTGATATTGGGATGTCATGAATATTACATACATATGATATTGAAGACTTGTGAATAACAAAAATGAAATTCTTCGATTTTGAGTCTCCCAGAAACTAGAGACAAAGGTCAGTAACATTTTTATTATACAACATACCCCAGGTTCCTATAACTCTTCTGCCATCTTTTCTCTACATTTCTAGATTCTGTGTCTAATCTACCATTATCTTGATAGTAATTTTAGATAAAATGTATAATTCCCTTTCCTTCTTTATTTGCCTCTCCTACTCCCAAAAATACATCTGCCTATTTACAGCCTTATTGCTACCTTTGGTTAAACCAGTGTCAGTTCCTGCATTGAAAGGACAATATAAATCTTGGGGGTTTTTTTTGCCTCTTTTGAAAGTTTCAAAAGCTTTTACTCTTGGATTGATTTCTTTTCGTGACATCCTATTCTTTAAGATAAAAATTTTCTCACTCTGCAGATATTAATTTGGGATCAAAGCTTATGATACTGTGTTTGTTTGCTAGGAATGCCATTAAGAAAGTCCAATAGACTGGGTAGTTGAAAAGTTGAAACAATAGAAATTTATTTTCTCATGATTCTGGAGGCTGGAATTTCAAGGGGTCAGCAGGGTTGGTTCTATCTGAGGCTTCTCTCCTTGTTTTGTAGACAGTTGACCTCTTCCTGTGTCCTCAAATGGTCTTCCTTTTGTGTCTTCCTGTGGCCTTCCTGTGTGTCTGTGTCCTAATCTCTTTTTATAAGGACACCAGTCATATTGGATTAGGTCCCACCTATATAAACTCATTTTACCTTAATCACTTCTTTAAAGGCCTGATTTCTACAAATCCTATTCTGAGGTAACCAGGGTTAGAACTACAGCATGCTACTTTTTAGAGGACACAGTTCAGTGTGTTACATTTGCCTTATCTCTGTTTCCTGTGGATTTTTTTGTTTATCTGACTTCCATCACTCTCTTACATATTTCCCTTGACCATCTTATAGTCTTCAGCTGTCCTTGTATATTTTAGAGTCTGGGAATAGCTGGTTTGTTTAGTTTGTATATGGGCAGAGTTTGTAAGTGGCTTTTCTGTTGGGTGATATGACTGAAAATAGCCTTGCTTTTTTGGGGGGACGACTCTTACATGCCAAGATCTTTGGTCTTTTTCCCCTTTAATTTCCCCAGAGAATCATATTCAGTTTGTTGCAGGGTAGGCTTCCACACCTTGCTGATAGAGGTATAAGAGCAGAGAAGGAAGAGGCCTGAATAGTCCCACAGTTAACTGTGCAGGTTAACACTTAATCACTCTTACTCTGCCTGGTATTCCTGATTACAGGTCCTCTTCAGCTTGGCTTCTTCAGAGACTAAATTTATAATCTCCTGAGGACTGCAAGGTGAAGGCAGAGGCCAGAGTGTCTTAACTTGTCAGTATGTGAAGATATAGAAAACCAGCAAGTTCTTGCTATTTTGCTCTGAACCTCGCCTTAATCTTCTGGGGCATCTGAAGCCTTGAGCAATGGAGGAATTCTCCGGAGGTTTACTAGTGAGGTTTTATTATGTATTTGCTGCCTACCGTATGCTAAGTACTGTGCTTTGCTAGGATTATCCTATGTAACCTTAACTGTAATCTTTGAAGGTTCTGTTATGAGGACCATTTTACATATGTGAAAACAAGGTTTAGAACAGAATTGGTAAATTGGAGCACCAGGCCATAAATACAAGTGTATTTGACCTCAGAAACTGCACTTTTACCAACTCAGCTATACTCAGAACAGTTGGAAAATTCATGCTTTTGCTGGTACATCTATAGACATTCTAGGTTTTGTGAAAATGTCAGTGTATTGATTTGATCACATTAAAAACGAGTTGTTATAATAAGTATCATACAAAAATAAAGTTCAGTACACCTATGGGAATATAGATGTATTTTAATGTTTATGAACATTAAAAATCAGAACATTTTCCTTTAACAACTTTGAGAGTAGAACAATTTCTAGCATACTTTGGGGATTCTGTAGGCATAGGCATAGAGCTAGGTGGTGACATTAGGTTCTGTCATTTTATTGAAAGTTCTAGAACCAAGTGCTTAGTTGTCTTTTATTTTTCTGACATTCCCCTCACAGTACTAGCTACAGTGTCCTTGGTAAATTTAATGTTCATTAGGTATTGGCAGATAGGCTAAAAAATTCAGAACTGTATGTTTAAGAATTGTTTTTATGTTTTGGTATTGAATGTCTAGCATTCTTGTATTTTTAGTCCATGTTTATTTCAGTTTTCACTTTATCCTTTTTTCTTTCTTTTTTAACAGATTACTTCTGTAACTGGATCTCCAGTTTGCTCAACAAAGCGGAATGTCCCGATTGCGACAACCCCCCCTTGTGACAGGCATCTCTCCAAATGAAGGAATACCATGGACAAAAGTCATAATTAGAGGAGAAAACCTGGGGACTGGCCCAACTGACCTCATTGGTAAGACCAAGAACTATGCTGTGTTTCCATGGTGAATGCATTTTTATAGTAGGCAGTTGAGGAAGATGATATAAAAACCACATTGTGGTCTGTACAGAATGATCTATATAAAGATTAAAGAATTATTTGGTTTTATGACTTTTCTGTTAAAATCATTATTTTATCAAATCTTATCAAAATTGCCTTTCACTAAGTCCTTCAGAAAGTTTCCCACAGGTGAGATTTTGCCTCTATTTCCTTACATTTGATCTCTCCTGCTTTGATTGCTCAAACAGCCTCCTAGCTAGTTTTATTCTCTTTAGTTTACCCTCCATTATACAACTGTCTTTATTCTTTCTCTAGTGCTCTGTGAATTATGCCTTTTCTGTTTCTTATTGCTCTTCAGATCAAATCTAAATCTCCTTGGTACCACTTGGCTCTTACTCTCATTACACCTTAGAGAAACTGTCTACTTTCAATAGGTGTATATCTTCACCGTGACCTATGAATCTTATTTATTTCCTTTTCTCTGCCACATTGATGCTTCATCATGGTTGAGAGCACCACCATGAATCTGAAATACAGATAGACTCTATTTGCCAAAACTTGAGACTTGCAACAACAAAAAAACAGCTCTTCAAACTAATTTCTACCCATGTTCATCTATCTTTTTATTTGGGCCCTAATGTTTATATATTTGTGGTAAGCTAAATTATAATTTTTAGGATCTGTTTTTTTTTAATGTTTTTTTAAAAAATCTTTTTAAGCTCAAGAACGTGAATGGTAGAATGCTATGTATCCAGTTGGCACCATATAAATATTTTTAGTTATTAGTTTGTATACTGTCTGTCCCATGCACTCTCTCTCTATAACATGGAGACCTTTTATTGCTGGCTTATTGTTTGTCAGTGGTTTTCATCCCTGGTATGTCTTTTTTATTTTTTTTTAAGTTTTTATTTAAATTCCAGTTAGTTAATAAACAGTGTAATACTCATTTCAGTTGAACAATTTAAGTGATTTAGCACTTTCCATACAACACTCGGTGCTCATCACAAGTGCTCTCCTTAATCCTCATTACCTATTTAACCCATCCCCTCCACCAACCTCACTTCTGGTAACCATCAGTTTGCTTTTATAGTTAAGAGTCTGTTTCTTGGTTTGCTTTTCCCTTTCCTTTTTCCCCTATGTCCATTTGTTTTGTTTCTTAAATTCCACATATGAGTGAAATCACATGGTATTTGTCTCTGACTGACTTATTTCGCTTAGGATAATATTATCTAGCTCTATCCATGTCATTGCAGATGGCAAGATTTCATTGTTTTTTATGTTGAGTGATATTCTACTGTGTGTATATGTATATCTATTGTGTATATACATATATATTATGATTATACACTATATATATATTCTACTGTGTGTGTATACATATATTGCATACATATATTGTATACATATATGTATACACACCATACCTTTATTCAGTCATCAGTTGATGGACATTTGAGCTGTTTCCATAATTTAGTTATTGTAGATGCTGCTGCTATAAACATTGGTGTACATCCCTTGGCTTGTCTTAATCTCCTCCAGAACTTAAAAAAAAATGCTCTGGGCTGCTGTGTCTCAGTTCAAAGATGGAGCCTAATCATTTTTTTGAAAATACAAATGAGTATCTCGTATAGCCAGGGTAGAGAGCAAATTATAAATATAATTGTATGGTCAGGTAGGATTGTTTTCCTGTGAACTCTGAGGTGCATTCAGAGTAGAGGACATTCAGAAGGAGGAAGGGAGAGGCTTCAGTATATGCTACTGCATGTATATACCAGTTTCCCATATTAACTTCTCTGGATTCAGACATTCTCTTGACTCTCCTTAATTTATGAAGGATCTATTAGTAAAGTATTCGAGATTATGAGTTGGAACTTGTTTTTCTTGCATTATTGATGAAGGTTGATATATTGTTTTTTGGCCATCTGGAAGACCCTTGGTAAAGAGAAAGTAAATTGGAGCTTAGCACTATGTTCAATAACTGACTTTTGTACTTCCCAACTAATTCTTTTCACTAGTGTTATATAAATGTCATATTTTATATAATTTTCTCTAGCTATAGTTTTTTTTCTTTAGTAAACAATACTTAAATTAATTATTCTTATGAAGATAGTCTTATTTAATTTTTTGTCTTGGTGTTTTGATATAGCTCATTTTAGATTTTTCTTTATCCAAAGTAAAATAGTCCCTAGAATGCAGGGAAATAAACCATAAAGATGGAGGGTGTGGCCTACATTTTAACTGGAGCTCCCAACATGATAGTTACTAGACTGTGTAAATTTTAATCTTGCTTTAGCTTCAGGCAGTGCTATTCTTATTTGACTAAGTGTGTATACTTCTATAAACCTCACTAGTTCAGCTTTCAACCTGCCTATATATTGCCAAGAAACCATTTTATAAAAAAGCAAACTTAACCTGTTAAATAATTTGAGTGTTTTTAGCTCAGATGAGGTCTATACTAGCCAAGTAAAACATTATAAAAACAGTTTATTTGAAATTCTACAAGTTACTTAAAAAAATGATATGTTGTATGAAGCAGATTTCTTAGCTTGCAGTGACTTAGTAAAAATGTGCTTAAGAAATTAAGAAATAGGTCTTATGATCTTATTTAATTTTTATGACATTTAAAATGATCTGTTTGAATCTGTATTTAAAATTAAATGAGGATTGTTAATTTTTTTAGTTAAAATGCAAAACATATTAAATCAGAGAAAACTTTATAGCAGCTACAACTAGATGAATAAACTTGTTCTGGGTAGTTTTTTTCTAACTTGTGCTGTCATGGATATCATTCATGTTTGTTCATTTGAACAGGTTTTTAAGGCTTTCTGTCAATATATTGGAAATCTAATTCTATTTCTCCTAAAAAAAAAGATTTATTTATTTATTTATTTATTCATTTATTTAATTTAATTTACCTTGAATGTGCGAGTGTGTGAGTGGGAAAGGGGCAGAGAGAGAGAGAGAATCCCAGTACAGGGCTGGACGTGGGACTTGAGTCGAATGTTTAACCCAGGCGCCCCTCTCATTTCATTCCTCAGTTTTAATCATAAGGTTGTTCTTCAGCATGGAACCTATATTAGGAATGATTATATATTAAGTCTTGATATTTATCATTGACTGATTTTCCTTTCTGAAATGAGTTAATATTTAAGATGACAAGAATCTTTCTGGTAGTATAAAATTAAAAAACATTAAGTTAACATATTAAGTTAGAGTAATATCAAAATACACACCATCTATAACACTAACACTATTCAGTTTATTAATTAAAACCTTTTCATTCATTTAAAAAATACATAGACTGATTTATGTATACATAAAAATTATTTGAGGTAATATTCATTGAAGTGTTTCACAAAGTGCTGATCTTTTTTTTTAAAGTTTATTTATTTTGAGAGAGAGAGAGAGTGAGCAAGCACAGGAGAAAGGGCAGAGAAAGAGAAAGAAAGAGAGTCTCAGGCAGGCTCCACACCATCAGCACAGAGTCCAGTGCGGGGCTCAAATGCACAGACTGTGAGATCATGACCTGAGGAGTCTGATGCTTAACCGATTGAGCCACCCAAGCTCCCTTCTCAGTGCTTATCCTAAAGATGGATAGGAATTCTAGGGGTGTTTACAGTCTCTTAGATTGTTTATATTTTTCAAAACAAAATTGATTTTCAGGGATGATATCAAAGATGTTCGCATTTTGAAAAAATAATTTTGAATTATGAATGCACTAAAAATGTGTAAATGTCATTACACGTTTAAAAAACAACAGAAGAAAACTTAGTCCTAAAGAAGCCATTAAATGCTCTTATTAGACAGGATTCTATACATGTATAAATCATACCTCTTTTAGGGAAGTCTCTAAAATTATTTCAATAAATGCATCTTTGAAATGTAGTTATTTTTATTTCTCAATGGTTAATACAACATTCTTACTAAATGGTGCTTTTGTTTTAACAAAAGATGACTTGACTCCCTTCCTACATTTTTAAAACCAAATTTGGCAGTAATTGAGGCTAATTAAATGAAATTGAGGCATTAATCCTGGTATCTGAAAAAAATTGTAATTGCCAAACTTGACTGTTGAGCAGTATAAAAAGTTAAATAATGAGGAAAAAAAGTACAAAGTGTCTTGGTCTTTATCACATTTTGGTTATTTTTTCCATAGATCTTTATTACATTTTCCCCTGTTTTGCAGAAATAGAAAATACAAAGAAAATAAGTTAGTAGAAGAGCTGGCAATGTGTCCACATGGTGATATATTGGTGTTCCTTCTGGGGTTACATCTTCCTCACTATAGTCTTTCAGTGCCTCCCTATTTGACTACTGCCTAAATTATAATAACTTACTTGGTATCAGGGCTGAGATGCCAGGCATGAGTGGAGATTTTGGTAGTGTTGGTTTACTACAAGAACAGAATGTAGTATAGTGATAGTATCATTAGGAAAACAGTAAGGTGGCATGAATTACCTTTATAGGGTGCAGATATAAAAAATGAAATAGTAAAAAAAAAATTAAAAAAAAAAAAAAAAGAAATAGTAATCCAGTAATGCCAAAGAACATTAACTGCATTTACCTGACTTCAAGCTGTGCTTGAACTAAAATATCCACCATGTATAACATATATAATTTAAACAGTAAGAAAAGTAAATGCAGATTATTTTTAAGAAGATGGATAAATATATTTGTTTTTAGGGAATGATATATACATTTCTTTGTACACTGTAGAATTTTATATCAGTAACTTAGATTTCTAATAATAGTAATAATTTTCCCTTCTAAAGCCTATGAACATAATTTAAGATTCTTATAATCTGAGTAATCTGGAATGCTTACACATAATTATTTTTTAATCCCATTGATGTTTGAAGAAATTTAAGTATAATCTAAAGAAGTCTTTAATATTAGAGAAAAAAGATTAGACAAAAATCAGTACACTATGTTTGCAAATAACATTAGGTATATTCAGTAATAGAAATAACTAACTATTGAATAGGAAATGTTATTTCTAGATTTATTTTTCTGTTCATTGAAAAGGCCTGGTAAGAATGACAGAAGCATTGTCTTTTTATGTAACAGATCTGTGTAAGATCTTAGATTTGTTCTTTTGAATTTGGTTACATGCATGCTTTTATTTCCAGGTTTGACAATTTGTGGACATAATTGCCTTCTGACGGCAGAATGGATGTCTGCGAGTAAAATAGTATGCCGAGTAGGACAAGCTAAAAATGACAAAGGAGACATTATTGTCACAACCAAGTCAGGTGGCAAAGGAACCTCAACAGTGTCTTTCAAGCTACTCAAACCTGAAAAAATAGGTATCTATCTTTCATGACTTTTTTCTAAAGAGGAAAATGAAAATGGGTTTTGTCTTTTAAAGTCTAAAACTGGTAGATTTGTAGAAAATGTTCCTATTTTCACATCTCATTAACTTAGATTATATTTATTTTGATAGGAATGGGATATTGGTTAAATTTTGCATTACTTTTGGAAAGGCAGTTTGGTGAGCTAACAGTGAAACCTAAAGATGATGGTCATGAGAGAATTATCATTCTAAATTCTTTATAAAATCTGTTTACTTAACATTTTGATTTGCCAACTTTAGTTCCTTGATCTTGAACACAGTAATTGCATTTGTTCCTATTATGCAGTTGAAATTTGAGGTAAAATATCCTCCCGATGTGGCTAAATTAGCAATAATATTATTTAAGTAATACTATTTAGGTTCTTGTTTCTTTTTTTTCCCTCCATCCTTTGAGGCCAGGACACACTGTTGCCTTCCAGAATGTTCCTTTAGCCCTCCAAACTAGAAATAATCACTCTTTTTTTGTATCCTACAGCACTTTATATGTTACTTTTTATGCATTTAACACTTGCATTCTCAAATTAAGGGTAGTTAATAACTTGGTCTGAGGAGCCAGCCTCTGAATACAAACCTGCACTCTAGCACTATGAGCTGTGGAACTTGAATGCTTCGTTTTTTTTCATGGGTAAAAGTGGAACATTGGTATTACCTACCTCACAGGATTAAATGAGTTAGAGCATGTATTGTATAGTACTTAGTATAGACCTTGATCCTAAGTAAGTGTTTAATTAATTTATCATTTTAAGTTATTCTTCTCACAGTTATTTCTGTGCATGGCCATCTCTTCTAAAATAAGAATAGTGTCAGATTCATCTTTGTGGTCCTGCAGTGTCTTGTACTTGGTCTGTACTTGATAAATATTTGTTTGAAGTAAGAATATCACAGGCTTAATTAAGCCCAGGTCACACATCTCTCTTATATTGAAAAGTAAATAATTTTGCAAATTGTTTTTGTTTTCTATCTTAAAGCATAGAGCTTTTCTACAGTATTATCTTCCTTATATTCCTGGATTTTTTTCCAAAAATAAAAATTAAGTAAAGAATATATACCCCCCCCACACACATAAAATTACATATACGTATACATATATATGTATACACACATATATACATGTATATACACATGTACTCACATGTGTATGCATACATATGTACATATGTAATATTCCTGTTTTTATTTACTCATTTTTATTTAACATCAAAAATTAAAAATTAAAGCAGGAACTTCTTACCTGTTTTCTGAAGGAACTTAAGACATTTTGGCAGAATCCACAATATCTTTTATCATATTTATATAACAGATAAAGACAACTTATTTGAAAATTTTAACTTTATTCTGAAACATCCTTGGGGTGCCTGGGTGGCTCAGTCGGTTAAGTGTCCAACTTCGGCTTAGGTCATGATCTTATGGTTCATGGGTTCGAGCCCCACGTTGGGCTCTGTGCTGATAGCTCAGAGCCTGGAGCTTGTCTTTGGATTCTGTATCTCCCACTCTCTCTGACCCTCTGCTGCTCATGCTGTTTTCTCTCTCTCAGAAATATATAAAGACGTAAAAAAAAAAAAAAAAAAAAAAAAGCATCCTGAGCAGGACCTAGCACAGTCGTGTGCTTATCAAACTGAACTCAGAAGTATCTAGACTTGAGCATAACCTCTAACAAAGCATCTTGTTACATTCTGGCAGAACTCTGGGTACTAATAGAGTTAGTTGGTTAACAGAGGTTCATACAGCTAGAAGTTGTCAGGGATCAAATACCTTCCATGAAGTCTTCACAGCCCCCAGCCACTCATTGGCCCTTTGCCCATTTTCTATTTCAACCCGAGGCCAGAAGTGGTAAGCCACTTGGTCAGTCCTATGCCAACGTGAATGTTAAGGATCTCATCACGTAAAAGAGAGTACCATTTTTAGAGATTATATTTTGTTCACAGTGTCTGTCCCTTTTTCCTGAATATCCTAGTCATTTCCATTACTCAAGCCATGCATTTCTTAGAGAATGTTTGACTGATTTCTTTATATAAAGAATTGTTGGATATTTTTTGTATTAACTAACTTAATTATACTGTTTATTTATAAAATACATTTGTTTTAGCAGAACTTTTTTTCTCAGAGGCTTAGCTTGTCTTCTCTGTTGAATAATGTACAATGTAACCATGAACCAAGAGGTATTATTTTTCCCATTTTATAGATTTTTAGTGTTATTAATCAATCCACAGACCATTAAAAAAAACCCCAAAAAACAAACAGCTTTTGTGCTCTCATATTTCTTGAAATTACCTTAGCTTGCATTTTGTTTTAGGTCTTTAAAAAGTGAAGCCGTGGGGAAAGACTTAGTCTGTATCTTATTAAGGATGTGCTCCTCATTTTTGAAGGTATTTTGGATCAGTCTGCTGTGTGGGTTGATGAAATGAATTATTATGATATGCGTACTGACAGGAATAAAGGAATTCCTCCCTTGTCTCTGCGCCCTGCTAATCCACTTGGCATTGAGATTGAAAAGTGAGTACCGTTTTGCCTTCAGTTCTTTATTGCTGAAAAGTTTTATATACTTAAGAGTGGGGAAACTGAAACTCCAGAAACATCCAGGGAAGTACAGTTGAAGATACATACCACCATTGTTGGGAGACAAGTGTTATTTCTGAAGCCTTGTCAGCTTTGCTGCTTGTGAGTGTTCCAATTAGTTAAAACTTTTGGTGGAAATCACCTACCTCTTTTAGTTTTTTGAGTTTATATTTTGTGAAGAAGAAAAGTATCTTGAAATTTTAGTAATTAATAACTAATACTTTTAATGATATGAGAATGCATTATCTGAGGTTGTTGAGTTTAAATATTTAGATGGTACTTGAAATCAAAATAGAATTTTCTGGGGCACCCGGGTGGCTCAGATAGTTGAGTGTCAGACTTTGGCTCAGGTCATGATCTCTTGGCTTCTGAGTTTGAGCCCATGTGGGGCTCTCTGCTGACAACTCGGAGCCTGGAGCCCGCTTCGGATTCTGTGTCTCCCTCTCTCTCTGCCCCTCCCCCCATCCCCGTTTGTGCTCTGTCTCTTTCTCTCTAAAAAACAAATAAACATTACAAATTTTTTTTCCAAAACAGAATTTTCTATATGCTTGATGTTTTGAGGAAATATTTTGGAATAATTAGGCCTAGTGTAGTTTATATTTTGTTTACAATCCCTGCTTATAAGTCATACTTAATACAGACTTAACTTTATCAGAATTGTGACAGGTTAATGATATTTTTCAGGATGTTACCAAATCTATAATTTTCTATTCTTAATTGCTAGGACAGTGTTTAGTAACTTTTATAATTAGTACCTTTATCTTTACATCTTATTTAATCAGTTCATCTAACACATCAATTGTGTCTAATTTATTTTCTAGCATTGGTGATTCTGCTCATGAAGTTATATACTGAGTGTTGCTTTATAAACACTTACTGAGGGTGACAAGTTCTATTAACACTTTAACCATAGCTTTAAGTTTTTCTAAGAATGGGGAAAATTTTCTACGTAATCTTTATATATTTAACCTTCATGCCTACACTGAAGACCGTTAGTAATTCAAATATTAAGCTTCTTTTTCACCTAGTGGGGTTTTACCTCTGGCTAAGAGGAAGGGAGCAAGTGTTTGTCTCGGGAATTTACCCTGTGTTGAGAAATCCTAAGGCTTAGCAGCTTTTAGTGAGCTTGGGCTGTTCTAGGTTGCATCTTTGAAACTCTCTAGAGTGGGTCATTCTGGAGCTGTTTTAAGGATTTCAGTGCTCTATAAAGAGTTTGAGGATCAAGAAAGTCTAGAAAAGAATGGTAATCACTAGCTATTTAAATTGAGCAGAGTTTCAAGCATGAATAGATTTCACAGTTGATCCTAAGCCTTTTAATAGCCTGGTTCAATACTCTTGAAATCCAGCTTCTTTCCAAAGCCTGCCACAAAAGAATTGTAGAGCAGGAGGTCCTGTATGGTTATTCTTTCTTAATGAAAATACAGTTTAGGAATATTGTATGAATTTTGTAAGAGCTTGAGACAAAACTGTGAAAGTTAGGATTAAATTGAATGTTTACTAACATAAAATAGATTTTCTTAATTTTCAGTTTGGCATATAAGCACCCCCTCTATGACTTCTTTACCTTCCTAGGTCTTTCCACCTTTTGATTGTCTTTATTATTCCTGTTATTGCTGCTACCCGCAAAGGAGTTAGGCTTGAACTCTCTCTAATAGCAGTTTTTCTTAATACAGGTTAGAATTATTCTTTGGTAACATTGGTAACAGCAGCCAGGAATAATGGCACTTAAAGCGGTTGGCTCTTTAAAAGTTCTTTTTTTCTTTTCTGAGAGGTAGTCTAATTTAGTCTAGAGACAAACTCAGTTTGAATCATAGCTCTACTGCTTACTAGCAGTATGACTTTGAGCAAGTTACTTAACGACTCTTTGACTCAGTTTCCTTAGGTAGAACATGCCGTACCTATGTCATAGGATGGTTGTCAGTGAGTGAATGCTTAGAAGAGTATGTCTTATAGCAAGTGCTTAAAAAATGTTTGTCATTATTACAATGATTCTTTGCACTTCTTGTATAATACACTGTTCCTGGCTCTGCTCTGTTACATAGGAAGAGAATTTCTTTTTATTGACTATTAAGGTTTTGGTGTAATAGATTTTATTAAAATCTTAAAATAGTTTTATGTGGGTTAATTTAAGAAGTGCTAAAATGGTGATAAAATTAACAGTAATATTTTTTTTCAAGTTATTAAGTTTCAAATAATAATTCACTCAGCCATGGGATAATTGAAGAGTAGTCTTTTGAAAAGGTAAAAATCATGACTGTCATACAAATATAAAATGAACACATTTTAAGAGCATTTATTTATTAATTCATTAATTAATGGAAAACTAGTAAAATGTTAAAACTAGTTCAGGGGGAATTCTAGAGGGTAGACATAATAGGCAATGAGGAATGCTGAAAGATGCAGACTGGCTGCTTCTACTGCATGGTAATTAGTTGGCAATTAGTTACGTCTTCACCTGACAGGTATTCCTGGTTACCATCAGCCTTACATAATTTAACTTCTGCATCTCCACCAGAGTTGCAAAATAGGGACAGAGAAAGGCACAGATCCCTATAAGAATCAGAAAATACTGGGAAGGTCCTCCAGACAGTGAAGGACACCCAGTAATCCTTCTGCTTATTTAAAGTCTTCTGAAAAATTTCCAGTAAAAGAACAGACTAGAGATACTAGCAAGCAAGAAAATGAAAGGTAAAAGTAGGAAGAGTTATAGAAAACAAGAGAAGAGAATGTTTTTGGCTAGACAAATACTTTTTCAGGTTCCTTTTTATTTTTTAAAGGTACTGCCAGGAAAACTGCATTTATTTTATTGAATTCTCAGACCTCAGATAGAAATCTTATTTTAGAAAAAGAGAAAAGGAGAGGAAAAGCATATGTTAAAATATTGATGGATTTTATTTCCCTGACTCAATATTTTTTAGATAAAAGCTTTGCTGTGCATAGAGAAGGATGTACATTCAGGTTAGAAACTCTATGAGCGTTTCCTTACTGGTTTTTATTTCTGTATATTAATGTCATTTGAGGGATTCTTTTATTTAAAAGGTTGAAAGAGGATCTACTTTTAGTTTTTTTCAAAAAACATCATCAGAGAATGAATAACAGGATTTTAATATTACCTGCTTGTTGAAATATATTAATTGAGAAGGCTTGAAGAATTATGATTGCTTTTTATAAAATACTGTGGTCCTGATGAATTAGATTAAGGTGGTCAGGTCACTTTGGAAGATGAATCTGCTGCTGGTAATTACATTGTGAATGGTTATAAAATTCTCTTCAGCTGACAGTCAAATGTACAATGTGGAACAGTGGGGTGTCCTGTCGTGTTGTTACCAGTTCATCTGAATTTGAAAAAAAAAAAGTAAGAGTAGCAGAATATAGTTTTCTTGCTACTCTTTGGTGTGAGTCAGAGTTTAATAAACCTTTTATTATTGTGCCCAGCATGCATCCCGTGGTCTTTCAGCTACAGGTTTAACAACTGGCATTTATTGGCTTCATTCACCTCCTTAAGTCCTTCATATTCTTAAAGTTTTTACTGATATTTTGCACACATGGTGCCTTGATGTTTATAAAAATGTTACCAATTGCTTCAAAAAAGATACCTTCACTTTGAACTGAGACTAAGCTTTAGTTGTAAAAAGTCTGTATTTCTGATTTATTATATTGATTGTCACAGATGTGTGTGTTCTTTGCACAGCTTGAATTGTAAGGGAGACAAACCACTTAAATTGAGAGAGAAGGTAAAACAGGTTCATGTTAAGTAAAAGCCCTCACTAGGTTATATTTCTTAAAATAAATATTTCTTTAATAGAATATTTATAAGTAATGTTTTTGGACATTGTATGCATATGGGAGTGAGGACATAAAAATGGAACTTTGCTCTTGTTTTTATGTGGTCTACAACTTTTTTGTGAAATAATTAGACAGGAAAGGCTATCTAGAGTAGTCAGTTGATGTACCATTTACCTGTTTTATTATTAATTATTTTGTGAAATAATTAGATAGGAAAGGCTATCTAGAGTAGCCAGTTGCTGCACCATTTACCTGTTTTATTTCCATGTGGATTTTATAGGCAATGCAGATCTGGTTTTTCAATGGGAAGAAAAGGTGACCAGTTTTCCAACTACATTTAGAAACCAGGGAAAGGTGGCAAAATAATTCTTAGTATGAGTGTAGAAGAGGAGAGCCTTGGATAAATTTACCTCTTAGAAATTTTATGAAACAGGATGTGGGCTGTGATATAGTGCCTAAGTCCCTACCCCCTAGAAAAGAACGAAAGAAAGAAAGAAAGGAAGAAAGAGCAACACAGCATACATACAACCAAAAACAAGCTCATAATATTTAATACAACAGAGTGAAAATAGCGATGCTAAAAATTGAAAGCCAAAAGAATTGAGTATAATATACACACACTCAAAAGAACTATTTAAGCCCACTTTTACTATGTTAGTCTCTCCGCCTTTCATCTTTCCATCTGCCAAATCAAGAAAACATGTTCTCTTTAATGCAAACACAAAGTAACACAACTGTAACCTGGCCTCATTCTATGTGGGATGGTTAGAATTTTTCTCAAAATGATTTTGTTTTGCTTGCTTAAGGGTCATTATTGCAGATTGTTATTTGAAAGCAAATTCTGATATTTTAAAAACATTCCTGTTGGTTTTAAATCAGACCACTGAGTCTGTTTACCTGGATCTTCCCATAGCATGGGCTAAACCTTTTCAGAAGATTTAAATCTGAGCTTACACTGCCATCTAATGGAACACATATATTTTAGGGGTGGCAAGAGTTGTCAGCTCCTGAAATTCATGAGTTTGCATAGTAGAATATGTGTTGCTTTCACTCTCCCAACTCTATGGTTGTAGATTTAAAGTGTAAATTTAGTTTAAATTACTTAGAATATACCTTGTTTTTACTGATTTGTTAAATCATCACTTCACTTG